AGACACTCCAAAAACGTTGCAAACCTACAACCTACCCCACCCACCCTGAAAAAGCCCAAACCCCCAAGCCGAAAAAACAACATCTCTTAGAATTTTTGAGACAGGACTCTTCCTTGTAGCTGGTTTGTTGGTACTATTTGACGGGAATCGTTCGTGTAAACCCTTAGCCCAGATCTGTTACAGTTTTATAGGGTGTCTTCCAAGCTCTTTGAAGATCAGAGTTGCACGGTTTGGGTGGGTCCGAGCTGCCTGGTTCGGTTTGGGGTTTCTTGGTAAGCGAGAAACTATCTCCTTGGGAGGGGCGCGGAACTTCGATTGAGACAACACATTGACATACACTCGGGCGTACAGACTGTGATTCGTTTAGCTTCCTGCTCCTCTATCTGTGCGAAGCGCACTGATCCCTCAACCCGAAACCCTGAAGTCCAGATGAGGACTTCTCCCATTCCACAACCTCTAACACCTCGGACACGTCCGAACTCAAGCATGCCCAGTGCAGCAAAGACAAAATGTCGGAGAGCCTTTCCTTTCCTGCAAGTGCACGTGTTCGCATCCATGCCGGTGACCAGTTGTGCAGATACATGTTCACATTCATGTTTCCTGTCACGCGCCTGTCAGTGCAATCTTATCTTGCAGGCTATCTAGTAGGCAAGGTTATCCTGGAGCAGCAGGTGCGTGTCAACACAGTTGTCCTGACGGTATTCCTTATTCGGCAGACATGTAGTGGCAGGTTTTTTCCCCTCTTCCCGCACTAAAGGGTTCCGATACGATCTTTGTCTTCCCAATGACTGTTGAAGGTTTTTTCTGCCCTTCCCCCCGTCTTCTTAGGCTGTTTGACTAGTCTTTTGGTCATCTCGTTTCCCCACGAAAATCTTTTCGCAGTTTTGTAGATGTTTGGATGTTTTGAACGACCCTCTCTTTTGCTTATATGGGGTGTCGCATCGTTGCTGCATGTTTTCCCTTGGAATCTAGGGTGAACAATGCTGGTCGACAGCAAAGACACGTGGCGATACACTTGTCCTGACAGCTTCGGCTTGCTAGGAAGGTCCCGTTAGGAGCTCAAGCCCTGCATTCCAGTGCGCTGTGCGTGCTAAAGGTCTCCTCCTCCTTCTTCCCTGGTTATTTTGGCCGTTTGTTTGCTCGTTTCGTTTGCTTGTTTAAGGATGCCTCAACAGACCCTCACTTTTGCTTATATGGCGTGTTTCAGTGGAGGTTTTAATCCCCTCCCTCGATCTTTGTGTCCTCTTTCTCCCTCCTTTCTCCCACCTTCTCAGGGCCCAGGGAGATGAGCTGTTTGCCGGGTGCTCGCGCGTTGAGTGAACCTGCTTTCCAGGAGCCAGGCTGAGGGTCTTATCAGGCCGCCACTCAAGACCGACGACGACGACACGCTGAGTGTCTAAAACCTTCAACCCTGTCCCCAATTATGGTGGGTTCTAAAGACCCTGCATGACCCTGAACCCTGAACCCTAAACCCTAAACCGCCTTTTGGTATTCTGCCATATTAAGGTCATGCAGGATTTTGGCATATCACCAGTTGGATTCAGAGGATTTAGGGCTTCCAGTCTAGGGTTTAGGGTTTAGGGTTTTGGGATCAAAGGGTTTAGGGTTCAGAGGTTTGGGTCTACCGTTGGGTTGGCTTCCTGGAGTCTGGTAGCAGTATCTGTATTCAGGTTGAGTGTGGGGAAGAATATGGGATCTTTCTAAAATGAGGGTCCGGCGGTTAGGCTTCAGGTTTAGAAGTGCCAGGCAATGTAGAACAGGCTGTCTGCCATGGCAACGCCAACAGTGTATCTCAGATTCCTAAAGCAATAAAACCTGCAACACCTTAACCCTATATCTTGTAGTTTCCCAAACTGGAGGACCCTAATATAGACCCTAATATATTGTAAAACCCCTGTAATGCTTAACACTTGCAGCTAAGTGGGTGTAGATCCTGGGGTCTAGGTAGGTGCGGGAGTAGATTTGTGCAAAATCAAGGATGTAAATGAGGTGCAAACCATGGGTTTGCATGAGTGGAAAGTGGTGTCGATGAAGGTTCTGTAAGCAGGAAATGTGGTGCGCACTAGGGTTCCGCCGGCATGAAATGTGGGGTAGAACAGGGTTCTGCTCGCAAGCAAACAGGTGCAAAGTGGATTCTGCGCATATTGAAGTTAGTGTTTGCCCAGGGCAGATGTGTGTTGTGATTTACATCAATGCCGCCAATGCCCCTGTTCCATGGTGCAATCAAAGGTGTGGATGAGTATTTGCAGTACAGGCATCGGCCGGGTAGCAGCACATGAAGAAACGGATTATTGATATCATTTCATTGATTCATTGGCCATTGAATTCTTAAATGAGAATTGGGTGAGCAAACGTGATGAGCGAGTGGTAAGTAACGGGCATGAGCTACGGTTTATAGTTTTAGTTTTTCTTAAGGTTTGGGCAATGCACGGTTTGGGGTTTAGGGTCTAGGTCTAGGCTAGGTTTGTTCAGAGACACTCCACTTCACCGCAGCTGCCTCCTAACTTTTTCTGACATCCGTAGTATGCCATCACTTTCGGTGAGCTTCATCCCCCAGGACTGACAAGAAACAGGCTCGAGAGGAGACCACAAAAGCCGCACAGAATTTTACTTACATGATGATGATGCCTCAATTTATTGTGGGCTCCCTACTGATCCTCTTCCTCTGAACTCCCGACCGTTTCGGAGCTGGAGCTAGAATCTGTACCATTACGTGGCCCATTGGGCGACGGCAACAAGCTCACCGCGAAGTGCGAGCGGATGCCTGACACGGCCATTGCCTTGATAGTTCCAGCTTCCACGCTAGCAGCAACAATTCGTGACCGTGCAGCATACACACGAAATATACCCAAATTGCAGCCCAGCTTCAGCGAGCAAAAAGGCTCCACTCACAGGAGGGCTCATGCAGTTGCCTGGAACCATGGACCGATGCGGTTTGAGCTATAGGTATAGGCTTAGCGTTCAGCCCCAAGAAAATCCCTTTTGCCTAAACCGCATTTACGCCCTAAACCGCCAAACCGCCTAGTGCATCAACCCTACTCCGAGACTCTGAACCCTAGTCGGGACCCTAGTGTTTAAGGCAATCATGCCCAAAATGCGCCGTGCCTGACATAAGACGAAAAAGTGTCCCCTTGAAGGACCCGTGAAACTTGAGCAGCTCGACGTCAAAACCATGCCTTGCCAACACGTGAATACAAACAGGGACCCTTGTGGTCCATGCATGCCAGAAAGTCAGGCCAAGTTACAAAGCAAAGCTCTCCGGGGGATTCAAGACCCTTCCGCTTCTAAAGTCGAAGATCTTGCTGTTGGTTGTAAGCCTGGACCACTGGGCGGATATTTCACTTTACGATTTCTCGATACCACGCTCGTCACAAAAACCGAATAATTCAGAGCAAATGGATAAATATGAAATAATTAAAACTAGAAATAGCAAGAATGAATGATATAATATAATCACAACGACAATAATAGTAACAACCTAGCAGTACATCAGTTTTCGAGCTAAGGCTTAATCATGGCGACTCCGTATTCCCAACTTTCTCTGTCCTGACGGGCGATGGGTCGCCCGAATGATGCAAACCGCGAATTATGGGCCAAGTGACGTGGGGCTCAATCCGTCTGATCGCCACATCTGTCTCGAGAGGCTCTTTGTGATGTCGGTCACAGTATTGGTGCGCTTGCTCTCCTGATTCTACTGCTGCAGGCACATTAAGTTAAGCCGCCGCCTAAGCTTGCGAGTGTCGCAGCCAAGCATCAGGCAACGAATGCCAGATCAGATCCAGTTGCTCCATCTCGCGTGGAGACAAAGATTGTTTCCACTTTGCCCCATGGTCTCGGAGACACTGCCGGGAGTACCTTGAGCGCGCTGACTCTCTCCCATACAATCTGATCTGACTCGATAAGCTGCAATACTTTCAAGTCAAATTTCAAATAGTCCCAGGAGCTTGCGGTACACACTCTCAGGGGCATCTGTGAGGCCCAATTCGCTCCTCTTGCTATCGAATTGCTTTCGTGATCTCTCAGAACGTATCACCTCAGCACTCGACATGAAGACAGAACAAATTCTGAATGTCACAGCTCTCGCTCAATTGCCTGCGGACAATCTACCCTACCCAACAGACAGTATTGACAGTACGCGGCACAGAACATCCGGCACGCAGGCCGGTATGACGTCAACATTTTCCCCTCGTCGCCATTTAGGCGCACTGACACTCAAAACACTTGGTTCGTCTCTTGCTGCCTATGGGTGTGACATGTTGTTCAGTCACCGGGCGCGCAGCACTCTACAGACTTAAAGGCGGAACATTTCTGTTCGACGCGGCATTTTGAAAATGCGATTAATTTCTTCTGGTAACATCCGTCGCGGAGTGCGGCTTAGACTTAGCAGCTTAGGTTTAGGCTACGGGTTTTTAAGGTTTAGACAGTCAATTTAGACAGACTCTAGATTCTCGACGGTTCCCTCATCCGAAATGCCAGATCACGAGATGGTGGGATTGGAAATAAATTTAACAAAGGTTTCCAGCACCCAAGCAGGTCATGTTACCGTGTCACACCAAGCGTGGGTCAAGTGCAACCTCGTAAGGCGTAGAAACTAGAGCTCCGTCTGATATTCAAGGCCGAAACAGGCAGCGGCAGTGGCGCAAGCCCTGCCTGCCTACCCCTAAGCATCATCTCATCTAAGAATTATCTAAGGAACGAAGGCTCCATGATTCGCATTTGAAGGAATTTGGGCCCAAAATCAAGCCTATTCCGAATACTTCAGGTTTCTAGGCTTAGGTGATTTTGATGCTTAGGGGACTTAGCCTTAGCTGTCTCAGACTCACTTGCCCGACCTGCGCCGCTTGGTGGAAGCAGGTGATCCAGCTGGGGCTGGCATCTTCAACGAATCGACTTTGCCCTTCAACTCCTTCATCATCTTGTCCAAAGGGCCCTGGATCTCGCCTGGGATGTCTTTCTTGTTCATGCGAACAGCGCCGATTCCATTCTTGACGAACTCTGTCCGTCCGCGTACCAAGCCATCAGCTTCTGCTTCTCGTCATCCGTCAGCGTGTTCGTTGCCTTTGACAACAGCTCGCTCTCATGCTTGAACAGAAGGGGTGTAGCCATGCTCGCCCAGAGGATCTTAGCCGCACACTTCTGAGTTGGGAAATCCTCCAGTACCGCCTTGAGCGTGGAGGCAGGGGCAGCAAAGCCATTGATCGAGCTGAGATCCGCCTCCCATGACATGATGCCATCTCCGTGGGATTCCTCATCCAGAAAAGCGGACATGCCTCCAGGACGCACGCATGTAGGCATAGGTTTGGGTAATCATATGTAGGCATGAGCATGGGTTTGGGCACGGCTTGGGGTTTAGGATAGCGGCGGAGGGTAGTATGCGCAGTGTCGGGTTTAGGCTAGGGTTCATGTAGAGTCTCAGGTTTCGGGTTTGGGGTTTGCAGCACGCAGTGGGAGGTGGCTTAACCAATCTTAATCTTAGCCTTGGACTGCATCTCTCAAGTTCAGAGAAAGGTCGCCGCCATCGTCGAGTCGAAGCAAGGTCGGCTTTGCTTTCTCTGCATCCATGTTCTTTGCCGCATCCTCCAAAGCCTGCAAAGTGACGCAAAGATCCTTGAGGGCGGCCTTACGACGCGCGAGGCTATCGGTCACCTGCTGGATTTTCTCCTTGAGGCTGCCCTGCAATGACATGGACATTTGCTGCAGCTGGTCTGCATCCAGCCAAGGATATTTGGCAGAGGCAGCCGTGTTGATCTCCACGAGGTTCACAATGCATGCTGAGATCTTGTCCTTCGAATCAAGCGCCTTGTCAAAGAGGGCCTTGCCATCTCGAGATTCAGCAGGCAACGCAAATTGCTGCGCTAGCTGGGCCACGCGTAGCTGGGTCTGCGCATCCTTGCCGAGGCTGGCCTCAACTTTGCCTGCCACGCTAAGCAACTTCTCGAGCTGCCCATCTTGCAGGAGGCTCTGGAATGTCTTCGAAGGGAGATCCTTGTGGACGTCGAGAATCCCCGTCATCTTTTCGATGATTGCTGCCACACCATCCGGCACACCTCACGCAGGCCCAGGCAAAATAGCAACAATGATTCGACAATGACTGACTCAGAAACTCCAAATCCAAATCCGTAAACCCACGCAGATCTCTCACCAAGGCCCAGGCCATCACCATCCGGGATCGCACGAAGGATAGCCATGTCCTTGTTGGATGTCATGCCATGCAAAGCCACCGCTGCTCCGGAAAATGTCTCCACAGTCTGGCTGGACTCAAGCTCATGGATCTTCTCGATGAGTTGGCAGCAGCCACTCACCGCGCTCGCCAATGCAGACGTCAAGGAATCTTGGGCATTCACCCACTGACCCACCTCAACAGCAACTTGAACAATCAAGTCATGAACACATGCGCTTCACTTATCACTGCATCCTGGCCTTGAAAACCTTGAGGATACGAGCTAGTCCCCGAACACCCGCGCCGGTTCGGAGGCAGGGAAAGGCATCGTTCTTGAGGCCGGAAGGGCCACCAACAACCGAAGCAATGGCATCCAGGGCTGGCGTCAAGAACTGCTCCACTTTGGCAGACACCACACCACATTGATGGATGAAGGCTTGAACTTCCGGCCCGGTGTCCTCTCCGACCTTCTCGGAAGACTCCCACTGCGTTAGAAGGACCTTGGCGTCTACCCAAAGGGTCACCGTTTCATGCTTGGCACAGGCCGTGAGCAAGGCGACGCCACTGCTGATGGAATTCATATCCTGCTCCGCAAGCTCTGCGGCAAGCGTCTTCATAGATTCGGCCAAGGAAGCTGCAGACCTGGAGCAACCCTGGCTTGCCCTTTCAAGCTGGGCTAGGAGCTGCCTCAGGCAAGCGGGAGCGCGTGCATGCAACCAAGAATTCAACAATTAAAAAAGAGGTCATGCCCAAGCAATCTCGATCAAATGCTGCCCAGGTTGCTTCCCTAGTCCAACACGCAGATACATAGCCGTCTTCTCAGACAGCGCGCGCTTCCTTGACAAAAGCGCATGCGCCTGAATCTTTTCCATCTCTGAGCCGTCGTCCTGCGTGACCAGTCGGATGAAGTCTAGAATCAATAGTAGTCAGAGCCATGGGCCATAGTCATAGTCATAGTCTATCCAGCGTTACGGGGAGAGAAGAGGGAGGGGTCCCCTCAAAACAAAATCATTCGCAAAAACAATGAAACAAGCAAACCAAATCGGCCACCGCCCCACCCAGCCACAATCCAGACCGCGGTTATAAAGCTTGGGCACTTTCCTTGCTAGCAATGAACCCGTCATGTCCTTGAACTCCAGGCACAACGTCCGCAGAGCCTGCACCTCGAACCTGACCTGGTCGGAATACCTCGGCCTCTGCGTCTTCCGATCACACGTGGACTGGAGCTCTGCAGGTTGGAAATCAGCTGGAAGTTGCACAAGGTCCAGTTCAGGGACCTTCAACCTCAGCATACTTAGTTGCTTGCAACATCAAATTATTTCTGCCCGCTGCTGCCACTTCAATGCACTCACGTCAGACACATGAACCAACTGAGTCAAATGAATGTCCCCTGATTCATCCCAGCCACGCTTGAATGACAGCCTTCAACCTCTGTTCGTTCTTGATCCTCCAAAGCCGGTCCATGAACATATGGAAGAGGTGCTTCTGGAGTTGCGGCCCTGATTTGCACTCAAACCACTCGTCTCTCGCTGCATGATCGAACTCGAAGAGGCACAGGCCGCGGTATTCATTGGGGCACAACCCCGCCATGCTCAAGACCAACTGTCCGTTCTCCGGCTCCTGGAGGGTTTCGGGTTTAATTTCCCAGGATATCGTCTAAACTAATAAATGATAAATGTATATTATTATATTATTATATTACACAGATTTATAAAGCCGCCCTAAATCCTAAATTCAATCCTACTATAAATGAACTATAAATTGAAGCCTAAAACTCAAGCCCTAAGCCTAAACCTTAACTTAAACTTAAACCGTGCCCTAAACCCTTAACCTAAACCCTTCTCGGAAAGCCTTGACCTAACTGGCGCCTAAATTTTAACTGGGAACCTTGAAAACCATTGTTCTGAAGTTGAAGGTATGGGCCTGGGCGCGTGCGTCCTTAACCTTTCAAGGCCAAGGGGGTTCCAGGGGCTCATATGTACTGAGTGGACAACAAGGATGCCAGGATCAAGGGTGTGTAGATTATAATTAGAATTAAAGGCAGCGGCAAAGGCAATAACCCCGCTGAGTTTACAGGCAATCAACTGCAAGAAACAAACGGCTGTCCTGCTCAAGGTCCTTGAGAAGTTGCATAGCCAGGGTGGTCAGAATGGTTTCCATTGTCTTGGCACCTATCTGATCCCACACGTCCACGTCGCCAGGGCTCATGTTATGGATGAACTCCTTGCTGTTCTTCCGCAGCCGGATAAACAAATCATTGATTCGCGGTGCTAGTTCAGCAGTGCGCAACATGTCCGCCATCAAGGCCTGCGCAGTTGCAGCCTCGATGCCAAGAAGTTGACTACCGCCATCCTCGAGGGCTTTCGAGGCTTGCTCTATCGCACGGGACCTGGGTTTGTTCGCCCATAGGTTCGCAGGGGTGAGAGCCAAGCCCTTGCTGCCCATCAGCTTCTCAGCTTTTGCAACAGCTTTCGGCGTCGAGGCCGTTGGTGTTGTTGTTGCCGCCGGGTGGGGCTTGGTAACCACGTCTCTCCCACGGCCACTGCTGGTAGGACTGGACGCCACGGATGAGGGGGACGCAGAGCGTGAGCGCACAGCAAGTGTTTTGGCTGGAATCTGCGGAGGAGGATCCTTGCGCTTCCGGGCCGGCTCGCGCTTGGCATTCGCTGGCACAGGTGGGGCTGCGGCCGGGGCGGGCGTCAATGAAGAGAAGGACATGTCCATGTCGGCTGCGCTAGCCGCGTCCGAATCGGTGACATCATCAGGTTCTTCGGCCTCCTGAGTGTCCGCCTTGTTCCCCGCCGTGGCCGCGCGATGCTGCAACACACGATCCTCAATCTCATCTGCAGTGGCGAGGCCCTTGTCAAAGTCCACAAAAGCCTTCGATTCCCCGGCAAAGGCCAAGTTGGCGCTGCGACCATCCTCGTGGTTTTCAGCCTCCCAAATCAAATCCAGGAGCATACGAAACAACTTTCTCAAACGATCAAGGACCTTGGGGCATGACGATTGATGGTGATGAGTGATGAATGATGATGCTGCTTCAATGATTCATGAATTCATGAATGGTTCATGATTGATTCAGAATGATGATGATGATGAATGATGATGCTGATGATTCATGAGGAGGGGGGGGGACTCGGGAGGACCGCAAAATAGAAGCGATTCCTTCCATGATGCTCCAACGAACTGGCCATATGCATGAACGCGGGCTCAATTTACGTAACCTGCAAACCTTCCCTGCATGTGGAAACACTATATGAGCTGTCAATTGCCACTTATCATTATCGTGGGCAGAGTCATAGTCGTAATCATAGCCGGCCATGGCCTAATAGGGTGCGTGACGCCACGCCCGCCTTCCTCTTGCCTGCAGACTGCCGGCTGCCCACGTGAACCTTCCGTTCTCCGAGCACAATCACACTTGGCACGCCCAGGTCCATGGTGACGGTCGTCTGGAGGTCCTGCCAGACGGGGCATGCGCAAAAACCAAGAAAAAAAACTAGCGACTAGCGACGCTTTCTCCCAATGGCCTTCTCGATGAAAGCTCTTTGCTGCTCTTGATTTCCGATGCGGCGGGGATCGAATCCCTTCTCTTTCAGAAAGTTGCTCAGAGTCAGCACACGCCCTTCGTGGAAGAAGTCTGCGTATTTACTTTCCTTCCGCCAAGAAGTCAGATCCACCTTCGGACCGTACTTGCGAACTCTGCGGCCGCCCTCTAGCGGCTTGCAGGCGTTCCTGCGGTTCATCTCCCAACCTTCTTTGATCTCCTCACGCGCAACAGACGTCATTGTTCTCATCTCATGCCACTGTCTGCTGCCAGTCTGGCTGTGAAGCCACGCACTACACTGACACTAACTATGTCCTCATCATGGTCCAAGATTTCGTTGAGCTTCCCTTGCGGCATGCCACCGTAGTTGTGCACGCGGGTCAACTGAGCTTCGCTGCAAGCACGAGTGAGCTAAGGGTTACTACCTTGGGAAGCTTGCGATTCTGGATCCAAGGACTCGTGTTGCAAAGATGGGCACATGTACCGAACCATAGATTGAGCCGAGCTACTGCTAGAGTATTTCAGGGGGCGGAGGGTTGGGCTTTGGGGTGGTTTGAGCTACGTCCCGCAATTCGTCCTAGTTGTCATCTAGGTCTAGATTAGTCTCTATAGACTATAGACTATAGACTATAGAATGATATAACATGTTTCAGAAGTAGCACCGTCAGTAGCAGAGTTCAGTAGAACCCGGCAACACCAGCAACGGCAACACCGTTGACCATACCGAGCACAGAATACCGAACACTCCGAATACCCCAGCCATTAGGCCATTACCAGTACCCGCCACGTGAACTTGAACCCTATCTGGAATCTTGAAGTAGATGAGTCATCCTGCGAAAGAACTAAGACGTGAACCCAAAACCCCGACAATAATATTCGACCCTAACACTGCCTAACACCCTTGAATCTTGAACTTAAAGCTTCGATAGCCGCCCCAGGCAATAGAAACATAGCACCAGAACTTCCGCGCAGATCGCGCATCTTACAGCGGACCCTCACAATGATCTTCGGGGAATCTAAATAAGCTGGTACACGATACAATGTGTGTATACTGATACTACACCACGTATGTGCGCGCCAGCGGGCGTTGCACCAGCCGCACTCGCACCCTTCCTCCTGGTCGCGGTTGCCCGTCACCTGTCAAGTCAAGCAAGATTCGTTATGGGCTCTGGCTCCAGGCTAGGGTTTAAGATGGTTGGCTCTGCTATGACTATGTCTATGACAGTCTATGAGGCTGGCTGCTAGGGCCATGGGCTAGGGGCTACGGGCTGAGCGGCTACGAGGAGTTCAGAAAGATCTACAGTCTAGTGCTCCAAGTTCTAAATTCCCAGGTCTGCCAACATGCGTGGATCCTTCCCCAGAATCAACGACTTGACTCCTAGCGCAATACTACAACCGCCCCGCCTTGTTTGGAGCTTTTTTCTGCCAATACAAAGGACCTGGAGCATCCGGCGGAAGATACTGATCCTGGGAGCGGGCCTGCTGTTTGCAAGTGGTGCAGGTAGGCAAATAGACGCTGCTGGCAGCCATGAGTACGAGATGTTGAGTCAAAGTCAACACCCGCGGACACTGACGAATGCTTTGCTTGCAACTGCAAAATTTGCAGTCCAAATGGCTGCACAAGTTAAGATTAAGATATTCGACAAGGTAGCAAGTTGGAACGTGCGCAAACCCACAGGAGCAAAGGCCAGGTCTGCCTGCAGGCCAGGCACAGGTAGGGGCGTAGCAGGATCCCACGCGGGCTCCTGCAAATTGGTTCAAGGTTGAATCAAGGTCCTGAGCCCGGAATGTTCAAACTTTGAGCGTGTAGTTGTTAGGCGCAACTGCCTGTCTTAGTCCTCGCGCAAAAATTCTGACTGTGATTTTGACAATGACTATAATAACTACTCCACGGAAGTTAGGCGAAGTATATGATGCAATCTAGCTAGTTTGTTAATTATAATCTGTCATGAGTCATAATCATAGTCATAGTCGCAGTTTTATTTTTTGCGTTGCAGTATAATTGTTCTAGAACTACAAATTATAAATGAATTTGAACGCCCCCGTTGAGAAAATGGAGTGAGTTGAGATTTGCTTACTGATTTGCTGATTTGCTTGAATAGTTTTGGGCAAGGTACTGGATCACAATGTGTTTTGACTGATTTGGCGAAATAAAATCTCTGAAGCGGGTTATCCGGGTGCTTCCGCGCTACTTGGAAGCACCCAACGATCAAGGAATTTTAAGACAAGAAAAGACGGGACCAAGTGAAGGCCTCCGCTTGGGGTAGTTATTGGATCAGAATATGTTTGATTGATTTGGCGAAATAGCATATATCAACGTAGAAAATATCACGAAGCGGAGGCTAAACAACATGCAGGGGACTTTCCCAGAACCCCCCTTTCAGCAGTCCATGAGTCACCAAGTGGATAATGTATGCACTGCGTAGCTCAGGCACTCGGTTTAGGGTTTAGGGTTTGGGGCTTAGGTTTTATAGAACTTTGCCACCACCCGCTGCGAGCTTTTTTTCTGACTGGTTTGTTGAGTTGACTCGGGAAAGACCCGCAATCTTTTTGTTGGGACAATGTCGGTACATGGAACAATGACACCTTCTTCTGCCATCTTCTGACAAAACCATAAGACCATAAGATCTCTAGCCTCTGTGCCATACATATAGGCAGAGTCAGAGGATCAGTCAGAATCCGCGACTTTTCGACCCCTCTCCAACCCTTGTCGGACCCCTGTCGGACCCCTGTCGGACCCTGTCGGACCGCTGTCGGACCCCTGTCGGACCCCTGTCGGACCCCTGTCGAACCGCTGTCGAACCCCTGTCGGATCCCTGTCAGACCCCTGTCTCACCCCTGTCGGACCCCTGTCAAACCTGTGTCGGACCCCTGTCGGACCCCTTGTCGGACCTGTCGGACCCCTGTCGGACCCCT